CATCAAAAAACAATTAAAATTGTAGTTCATAGCTTTCAAAGAATGGGGAATTGACAATTATAGTTCATTTAAGAGGGCTACCTGTTTTGAATTTTGCCAATGCAAAGTTTTTATTAATCATAATTAATAATGAGAAAGAATTAAATTCTTCCCCCAAATGGACCAAGTGAATCATTTTTAGTAGGTGAATATTCTTAGGAGCATTTGAACCATATAGTAGATTACTTACTTTTAATTATGTCTGTATGGAGATCAGAATTTACATGATATAATGTATAGTGATTTAGTTTTTTAAGCTATAAGTTATACTTTACTTCTCTTCACAAGTAAACTAACTGACATTTAAGTCAAACATGTACATACTAGGAAGACACCACCTCATTTTTTACCACTATTACTTACAACCAACCACATTCAGAGTACAATATGAGAACTTTGACCACAATATACCAGGTTGATCTACATTAATTGTAAAATATAGGAGAAAGAGCACAGCATTAGGTAGAGGTAGCTCCGCCATCTACTAGCTGTGTTACATTTCTAAATCAACAAGATAGAAACAAAACCCATAGAAAAGTAGAGATAATAATAAAAAAGACATTGTAAGATTAATTAAAATTAATAAATAATTTATAATTAAAACAGATGTTAAGGAGATTTGTAAAGTGAGGACTCAAAACATAGTTATTATTATAGACTACTTCAGTACAAAATTCGGTTTAGTCACTTAGGTAGGCTAACTAGGGCAAGCAATTTAACCTTTCTTGCCTTAGCCTCCCATCTGCAAAACTAAGAATAACTGTCATTTCTATGTCATGGAACTTTGAAGATTAGATGACTTAACAAATGTGAAGTAACTATTAGCAACAACTTACACTGTGAGCAGAAAATCAGGGGTAGCAATTTTCACTATCATTATTAAATCTCTTTATTAGTGTCAAGCCCACAATAGGGTCTTAAAGTGCTAGACATTATACCAGGCTACGTTATGAGAAAACCAACTGTGTTACTGAGAATGCCCAGTAGGTTGAGCATTAAGGCAGGGGCCATTAGACTCTATAGAGATTTCTGGTCACTGGAAATAAGTATTAGGGTCCCATGCGTCTCTGTTCTATTGTTCACATCAACAGAACCTCCGGCAGGGATTATAAGGAGACCTTATAAAAGCAGGGGAAATGAGATCCACAGCAGCATACAGGGATCTCGTTGTGGCCGCATTCCTGATCTGTGCTGTGAATGAAGTGGACATAATCTGTGGACAATTCCGATTTCACGGATGAGTCCAGAGTTTGTTTTGGACACCTAAGCACTTTCAGGCAGTGTAAAACTGAACTTGAATTTTCTTTGATCAGTGGTAAATTTTCTGAAGAATGATATTTGTGTAAAGAATCCATAACAATAACAGGAAATCAAATTGCTTTCCATAAATTTCAAATAAACATTATTTGTTTTGTTCAACATTTATCTAAGAGTAGTATTGATAATATGGTTTGTGTAATTCTGGAATAATATCAAATCTCTTGAATTTTATTAAGGTAATATATTTTTGGTGTTTGGATATAAAAAATTATACAGAGCCAGGGAACACTGGGTTGTCTAGTGTAATATCCTGGCAGACAGAGGTGCGGGTTAGGTTGTCCTCAATGCCAAAATGAATGATCACACTTGCTGGTTACTTTGTGTTGCTTCAACACTTTCAGTCAGTGTTTCATCCCCACCAATTTCAAAGGTTGACTCATTCTCAAGAGCCATGATCTCATTTTGCCAAAACCTAAGTGTCTCTTTTCTGTACTCCGTCACTTAACTTTTCAGTAGCTTCTGAAAAAGCTTGTTCTCTCTTCCTTTGGAGAAGCCCTACTATCTTCTCTGAGCTTGTACAACACAAACCATTTTCTGTTCTCTTTTTAACTACTGTTTGTTGGTCGCTTTCTCTTTACTGGCTCTTTACAAATGTTACATTGTTGACCAGATTTGGTTTTGGGCTTCTTTTCCAATTCTCATTCTCAGCCTAGACGGGCTGAAATGGGTTCATAGCATCAGATGCCACCTGTATACTGGTGATTCCTAAATTTACCGTCAGGCCCCTGCTTCTTTCTTGAACTCTAGACATTGAATTCTATAATTCAGTGTCTTCTCTTTAATGCTTTAATAGTTATCTTAAATGTAATTAATTTCATTCACCCATGATCTGGTTAACTTGCCAAACATGTTTTTCAATATGGCCCACCATGGTTAATTTCTACCCATTTGTAGAAGAAAGCTATTTGTTGAAGCATCTCTTCACTATAATCTAAGACAAAAAAACTCCTCTTTCCTGGATTTTAAAACCATTTCCTAATTTGTCTCTCTGCTTTTAGTCTTTGCTTTTCTTTCTCCACATGTGATCATCTTAAGAAATAAGATTAAATTTCAGGTTATCCTGCTCCAAGAGCTTCCTATTGTAGTTATAACTAATGTATAATAAATTACATAATACAAAGTGTATGTAACAAATTATAAGATGATTTGAACTTCTTTCTTGGCTCCTGTGTACCTTTCTGGATTGTTTCCCATGTTCTCACTTAGGTTTTGCTGCACACAAACATACCAGTTCCCTTTCTGTCTCTTAAATCTCCACAGTTCACTTCCACCTCAGAGTTAAGATATCACCCACTCAGGGGCCCCTCCCTTGAAAAGAGTGGACCTGTCTGTCTGTTCGCTTCTGTACCTGTTCTGAGCACCTGATGGACTTTATTTCAGACCAGTTAGCTCACTTTGATCTTATTTACATACCTGCTGCTGGTATCCTGCACTTCCTGCCCCGTGGATGTGAGCGCTAATGGAGCTTGCTCGTACTATTTATATCTCCTTTGTCTACAATAGCATATGGTCTTTAAAAGCTATTCAATCATATCTATTGAATAAATGGATTTATTTTAGGAGGTATAGCTCATTGCAATCTAATTTTACTTTTAAGTAAGAGATTGAAAGGTTACATTTTTTGTACAGGTGCATGTCTCAAGTATGTGAATGTAGTTATTGAAAAATATATTTGAAAGTAATATGTTTGTTTTAGGATTTTATTTGATTTAGTTAGAGCAATAGAATCTATGGAATCTGAAGCTCTCTTTGGATGTTTTACTTGGATTTTTACAAATTGTTTTAATTTATGTGTACTTTAGCTTCATGAATCTAGTGGTCTGAGAACAAGTTCTTGCTTGTAGTTATACTATTTCATGTACTTCAGTCTCTGGTTTGGAAAAAAGAATGATACAGGCTGTATAAGATAAAGTAGCTTGCCAAACTATAGAACACTTCCATTAACTGGTTTCAACCTGGTCATTTTGACTCATTAAAGGGAAAGAAATTTGTTTTGCACCATTATTTTGTCATTCATTTACTCATTTAAACATATGTAAGTGTCTATATTGGTTCTCTAAAGATGCAGAAATGATACAAGATTTGCTCTTTCAATATTTTGCATTATGATATTTCTATATACAGGTCTCTTTGAACCACTGAAGATCACTAAATGTATTTAGGGATCCATTAATTCAAGGAACTGAAAATTGATACTGCATCCTAAAGCTAGTTTCTCAGTCTTTTCCTGTTCCCTCCCCTCCCTTCCTCTTCTCTTCCCTCCCCTCCCTTCCCCTCCCTTCCTCTCCTATCTTCATTGCTTTTTCCCTTTCCTCCCCTCCTGTTTTCTTCTTTTCTCCCCTTTCCCCCATCTTCCCTCACCCTCCTTCCCTCTCCCCCTTCCACCACTCACACTTGCCAGACACGTCTACTACCTTTATATTGGATCATTTAGACAAGAATTCTAGGAGACAAAAGAGTAGCTGTATTGAGAATCAGGAGTTATAAACACTAGTGTCAGTGATTTCATTAAATAGTTGTGTTATGTGATGAAAACTATAAAACTAAGCTGTCATTTTCTCCATGTCTAGAAAACAGACTAGAGACTCTTTAAGATCCATTCTGGTTACATAACATGGAACAGGAATGTTCCCTTTGTGGATAGCTTTTCAGGACAATATTGAAATTCATTTCTATTATTTATGGAAGTCAAGACAGAAATTAGAAGTCATATTTAGTCTATTTAAATTGTCTTGGAAGCAGATATTCTATGAACTGAAAGAATTAAATACATGTGGTTATTAAATTATAAGTTTATATGTGTGGGTTGAAAAAGTACAGTTTGGATAGATACAGACCAGATTGTCAAAAATGATTAAAAGAATGAACGCACACATACAGAAATCCTTGATTTCTGGCCAGGGTTAGGGCTAAAACTAAAGTTCTTCCTAATGACTAGGAAACAGAACGCTGAAAACATCTTGTTTTGTTAGGAGCTGTGAAGCCCTGTGCAATAGAAAATCAAAGACAATTAAGAACCAGGCAACTAGCACTGTGCCCTACTGCTTCCCCATTATATGGAACAAAAAATTAAATAAATGAGTAACAAGTCAGATAGATTCCATAATTGTAATGTTCCTATGACTACTGTCCCTCAGGTAATGAGACTGAGATCAGATCTACACCTAACTTGGCCTGGTAAACATTTGATTAACCACTGGGCTACCTGACTGCTGATTTTAAAATGCAAATGCATCTTGTATCAGTGAGTATGCACCAAAGGAATGTAAGAAATGGGCTAATTGAACACATGTGCTATGGTAAAAGTTTAAAGACTAATCTCAGAATTTATGGTCCCCAAATCTATTTTTATTTTGTCTTCTGGAGATGTTTTAAGAATTAACTTATTAATAAATTAAGTTGTGGGTTTGTGGTGTAGAATAACCCGCTATTTTCTCTCACCACTGTCTACATTTCTCAGCCTTCTTCTATTCTGACAGACATCCTATACTGTGGAATCATTTGTAATTCAACAAAACAACTATATAGTATGGCAACATTAATGACTAAGTTCTTGGCTTCAAGGTTTTAATTATATAAATATATTAAATGCCGAATGAGGCTCTTAAAAATAAATACATAAAAATCATTTGGATACTTACATCAACAATCAAGAAATCTAGCCAGCACCAGGCATTAGTGAAATATGTTTGGAATCCATAAGCCACCCACTTGAGAAGCATTTCCAGAATGAAGATGTAAGTGAAGACCTTGTCAGCATATTCTAACATCGTTTTAATCGTCTTTCTCTGTTCAATGTATATGTCTTCAAAAGCCTGTGAGTCAAGGATACTTTATTTTACCTCAATAGTTTGCCTCCTATAAGTTCTTGAAACAAATGTTTAATATAACATTGAGTACATAATATTAACATAATATTGAGTACAAAGCAATGATTTGACAAATATTTGATAACATCAAACACTGGACATCACATAAGATCTGTTGATTAAAACAAACTATAAATATGTCAAAAGGGAAAGACCAATAGCTTTATTGATATGAATTGTGTTTTATCCCTAATTTTTACACCACAGTACCTACCTCAATTATTGCTACAAAGACAAAGTACAAAGACAGTGCTACAAAGACTATAAATTCTATTAAAGAGGAAAAGTTAGCTTATGCCATAAATATCTTCTATGATTTCCCGAATGATCTGGCTCACATTAAAATAATAAGTTGATTATATGAAGAAAACAAAATGTACTTTTAGCCCATACATGTTAATATGATTATTAGGACAAGTTGAATGTCACTCATAGGGGAAGGTAACACTGCCACAGGGCATCTCTGCGAAAGGTTATCTCAGGGAGGAAAACATCTGCTAGATAAACATCAGATGAGAAATTCTATCTGTTTCACGACTCTGATTTGTTTTGAATGACATTTTGCATAGTTAGAGCCTGGTCACTCAGCTCTGCTGGGCAAGGAGAAATGGGCCTTCTGTTTTGATTCTTATGTTTTGTTATTGTAAAAGGATAAACTACTTTACTAGAAGCTGATTCTTGTCACTGTTTGATTCACTTACCAAAGCCCCGCTACTGAGAAGTATCATGAAAACAATGAAAGTCTCAAACCAGTTGTGCTCAACAATGCTGTAGCAGGTTTTCCGAAGATTCCACCAGATTTTACCTTTGCCTTCTTCTGTACTTACTTGACAAAAGGGGAACTTTTTAATACATCCTAAAAGGCAACATTAAATATAATAGATTAGAAAAATACATCTTCATCTGAAGAAGAATAAAAAAGAAAAAAAAAAACTTTCTCCCTTGTCACGCTGGTGCAAATTCATGATTTGGGTGTAACTAGCTACACTATCTCTTAGTCATCTTCAACTTTTCTCCTCTTCAATGAATCATTCTGAGACTTGTATTCTCAGCTAGCCACTTGGAATTCAAGGAACTACTTTACTTTTCCTGTACTGCTTAAGTTAAACCAATTTCATTCTTTAGTACCTATAAGGAGGTCTAGGGAAATGGGACTCAGTACATTTCTCAGATTGGGGGCAGAACTACATGTGTAAGTTGTATATTCATTTTTTCAAGCCACCCTGTTTTTTTATTTCCTGCTTCTCTCTCGTAGGAAATCCCAGCGTCGTCCCAGGTGCAGCCGCTGCCAGTTTTTTCAAACTGCTTCACTTTCAGCCTCCGCGCTTTCCTCACACCTGGCACTCATCCTGTCAGTCCATCGTCATATTCCTTTGTCCTCTGCCTCCAAGAGTCATGTTACTATATTTCTAACTTCCATCCACTTTTCTGAATTAACTATCTTAGATACTGCTCATTAGATTAAATACAGTCACAGCCAATCAATGAACCTTTGATTTGTGTGGAGACACTCTGAGAATAATCACGTGAGCACACTGCTGCTGCCCCTGCCCAGCTCTCCAACACGGCTGCATTCCCCTGAAGATCAAAACAACCACATTTTCATTTGTCAGGGACGGGATGCGATCATCGCAGCATCTACAGATCTCATCGCACTGCTGTCAGTGCACTCCGAAGGCATTGCAATATCAGTGACGTGCGACACTTAGAATGCTAATTAGCTCACAGATCAATTTCCTGACATTCTGGAGGATAAAAGAACAACGACAACAAAACCCTTGAATTGTCCAAGCATGGTCTTTGCTATAATATATGCTATGATTTGGAAATACAGATAAATTGACTTTGTGAAAGAGAGTAGGGAAACAAAGATGAACACACCTTCACTATTTCTTTTAAGTCTAGCATTCAGATGAGTTATGTTCACTCTCTGTTAGGAGTGAGAGAAGACTGCATTTAATCACATTAGAATTTGTGTACCTTCAGTGAAACAAGCTTCTGGCTTAAGGTCTTCCTCGGGTTCGGTTTCAGCTTGTTCTCCTTCCCGGGGTGGAGCAACATCAACTGTGCTTCCTTCAGATGAACTAGTTGCATTTAATTTCTGGAAACAAAATGTCATTTGAAAGATGTGAATTTTCTCCCTTTTTTATGAACCCAATTGGGAAATGCTCTGTCATATTGTAAGAAATTGATAACGATTGCTTTTGATTGTGTTAATGCTACCGATAAAGATGAGCTAATGATCTAACAGAATTAAAACTTACTGTTAGAAACAATGTGACTGCTGGTTTAATTGAGACAGAAATGGTTAGGCACATGTAGTGTGGATGACTTAGAAAGGATGACTTCTGCTGAATAATTTATTTTATGATTATTCAACTTTGTATATGACTGCCATATGAAAATAACCCAATAACATTGACACACTGGCTAAACTAAGAATATTTGATAAAGTTTGGTATGCTGCATGTACTACTGATTACATTAATAAAATATACCAAATCAAATCACATCTTCCACCTCTCAAGATGGAAATTTTAGAGGGCAAAGAACATTACCAGTTGTTTCTAAGTACTGTCCATGTTTCTGTAATTTTAGAAAGGAAGAGCAGTACATTAACATTAGTCACAGTCATTATATTTCAACTTTGAGCTATATTTTCCTCTGGCTTATATAATTTTCTCCTTATTTTACTAGCAGAAAATGATGGATCTCTTTTCTTTTTTCTGAACACATAAATGAATTCAACACTTGCCAAAGAATTCTAAATGAAATGGAAATTTCTTCATAAATGGGACTGTCTAGAGTCTGTATAGACTTGCATTAGGAGCTCAATCTAAATTCAACATGAGATCAAGCTTTGGATTTTTCCTTTAAATAAATCATTGTGACATGCCACACATCTACAAGAGCCATTTAATGTCACAGAATAACTAAAAAGTTTTCTAGTATCAGTTGGGAAGACATCATAAATGAGTAACCTTCTACGGAAACAGATGCAAGGACATGACTTATCGCACTACGTAGGTAACACCGAGCTTTCAGGGTGAAGAACAGCTCATGGGCATACTAATGGTTTCAGAGACCCATTAATTTTAGTAGCTAAGTGTTAGGGTCATGCTGCTCAAGGTTTTGGAAGAGTTAATGTGCTATTTTTAAAAAGCCTAAGTGACTCCTTAAATGCAAGTCATATTGGTGGAAATTTGGCTCAACATTCCCTATTTATTGAAATTGTACTGCCAATGTGTTTTAATATTATATACTGTGAACAAAAATTCAAGAATAATATTCAGATTAATACTTTTAGAGATGTGAAAGGTGGTATTAACTGTGTGCTGCTAAATATATTATGAAAATGACTTTAAGTGAAAGTACAATTTAATAATGTAGCTCCTCCTAGACTGTAGTATGATAAAGAGAGAAGCTAGGCCATATTTTTTTCTAATTGTTCTCTGTTACAGTACAAGGATTGTTGCCACTAAGTCTTTTCTGCAAATCTGAGAAAGCCCAGACATATTTTCTTCTTTTGGGATTTTTGTGAATCATACAGTCAGGATATCTTTATTCCTTTTTAAAAAAGGATAGGAAGGTTACTGCTGAGTGGAAATGAGGCAGATTCTGAGATGATCAAGAAAATACAGATAGGTTTAACAGCTAACTCTTCATTTCTAATTTCTCTCATGGCTTATAAGTTGAACACCATGACACCTCTTAAATAACACCAGAAAGCAATGAAATTCCTAATTAAACTACTTCCTCTTGGCTGAACTAAATTCAGTAATTTCTTCTGAGCCTAGTCATGATCTACCACTCTTTTTTTTTTTTTTTTTTTTTTTTTTTTTGCGGAACCGGGGATTGAACTCTGACCCTTGTGCTTGCCAGGGAAGCACTTATTCCACTGAGCCATATCCCTGTCCCCTGATCTACCACTCTTATGAAATCTTTCTTCCTTGCTTTCTTGATCTCTCCATGCTAAAATTTATCATCCATTTGATCCATTATACTTGTTGCTTTTAATCAAATATCCACATATATTAATATACATTCACACACACATACATGCATGTATACCAAATATAACATAATTACTTTATATCAGAAGATCCAGTATATCACCAAGTGTTGAATAGACACCAAATACTATGATTAGGTTGAGCTTGTAAAAAGTAAATAGATTGAATGCACTTTTATGTTATTTTTATAGAAATAATTACAATGTTTACGTAATTTCTTCTCTGCTTTTTGATACAGTATGATTCAGTTATGATCTGGAAACTATCCAAATGTTATAAAATATTTTTTATTGAACAGAGATTTTTAATTAATAATTTTTAATGTCAAAATATATATTTCTAATATGGAAGAATCAGGAAGGAAGAACTTAACATGCATTGTATATATCCATACATATACACATATGTTTTCTACTAGAAAAATTTAGAAAATATGCTCATCTTTCCTTGACCACTTTTCCACTGCTGATATGATCATGCGATGTTTAATTTTTCATATAATTGAGCAAGAGACAGGAAAAGGAATATTGTGGGACTGTCCTGCTTCAAGGTTGTATATGGTGAGATTTTTGGACTTATGTACAAACATGAGAAGCATAGAATTCTTTATCCTATTTTTTAAAATATAATCTAATTTTTAAATGTTTTTTATCATATTATGTAGGGACTTAAAGTTCAACATATCAATACTTGATGAAAAATACCTGTTCCTTATTATGCCTAAGATGTTTGAAATGCAGTGAGATAGTGAGGCTAAGATTGATAGCCCAAATCGTTTGATAATAACAATAAGCTTTTCTTCTGGATGGTCAACAACCTAAGTTTGCAGACCAAAATTAGAGAAAAAGGAGGGCTACAAGGAAAGCCAACATTTTGGCCCTAGCCTTCTAAGGTCAATTAAGACTCAGGAAATATGAGAACTTGTACTGTAACGTCATGTACCTCGGTAGTGTCCCACATTTTCTGATCAAGAAGATTATGGGGCCAAAGAGGAAAGTGATCGATGACATAGAGTGTGCCTAAGGAGAGTCACATGGGGAGAAGACACTCTCTCAGGCTTTCACAGAGAGCACATTGGCCAAGCAATGGCCGTGACTCATCCACATGGCTGCACTGATAAAGGTTCTACAATCTGAGGTACAGGATCTCAGGACAAATCCTGAGGGCATTTCACTGACCTTCTCAGACCAAAAAGCTACAACTCTTGTTGCATAGGTCCTGCTTTACCTTGGTCTTAACCATCCAGTAGAAAAGTATGAAGTCGAAATATAAGAAATAAAGCCATGCTGTTAAGTTGAGCTGTGGGGGACTCAGGTCAATAATTTCTGACATTGCCAGTTAAACAGAAGACCCAATGCTATTATGGGCTACTGGACTCTTTTAGAATATTTTGCTGAGTTTACACACCTATAATATTCAATAACGGAACTTAGAAAAAATGGGGTATACAGATGAATGTCCATTTTGTATCTGTGTATTCAAAGTGGTTGGGATAGATATATAATTGTATTCTCTTAATGAATAGAATGATTTGTTCTAATGATGTTTGTAAATAGGATCACAAGTCCACATCTTATACAGCAATTAACCACTAAGAAGAATATATGCAGTGTATTATTTGTTGAAACTGTACTTCCAATTTGATTTGAAACTGTCTCATTGCTATCTGTTTATCAATAAAACTTTGAAAAAATTTTTTTTCATATAATTGTCCTATATTCTAAAGGTGCTTTATATTAAATGTAAATATTTGCACAAAATAATACTTCACAGCCCAGCCAATAAATAGTTCAATCAATTATCACATATGAACCTTTGAAATTTTTTCATGGCAGTACTAGGGATTGAACACAAGGAGTGCTGAACTACTTTTTCTTTTGTCTTTTCTTTTGAGACAGCACCTTCAGAAGTGGCCTGCACTGGTCTCAAGCTTGCAATCCTCTTGGCTCAGCCTCCTAAGTAGCTGGGCTTCTAGGTGTGTCTCCCAGAACATGACTTGAATGTACTTCTGTTTTTAGCACTGTTTTGCATTCTATATGTTTGTGAACGATATAAACATATTCGATGTAATAATCGTAACATCTTAAATAGCTTTGGAGATCTTTTTTGTACATCTTAAAGGAGAGAGGGACAGTGTTCAGTTAGCTCCCCTCCATGGCATGCCTTTTGAAAGCAGCCAAGGAAAAGACCTTGGACCCATCCTGCTCTTGTATAGAGCAGAGTCCATTTATATGGAGAACTACTCTGGTGTTATTCAGGAGTTATGTGGATCATAAGGAGAAGCACTTAGGCTCTGGAAAGCTTCTCAAGGAATGTTCAGAGGAATCTTAAGCCCCCATGGAACGAAGGTTAGAAAGCAGTAGAAGAGTGTTCATTTTAACCAGTGCTTTATGGAAGACTTTTTTCCCCTAAGAAGGTTGGCATAAAGCCAACCCTTCCATGTTGGAGAATTAGACTTCTTAATGTTTTAATCACATTAGTTAGAAACACCACTACACCATTTTAACCCCATAAGTCATAGTTTTATCACAGGAAGATATGTAATCTTATCTTAAGAAAATATATTTATCAGCTATATAAAAGTTTCAAGAGCTATACATTTGCCTGTATATAAATTGTAGCTTGAATTTCATTCTTATTAAATTACATTAAAATGTTTAAATTACATCAACTGAGCAACATACCATCTGCAATGCTTTAGGAGTTAGATAGCTAAAGAAGTTTACTGATGTATTTTCAAACCACAATTACACACTATTGAAAAAGAGTTAAGCATTTAAATTATATACATTGATATAATAGCAACCTATACAGAATTCTATGTTTTATAATCTCAATAGCCTAGACATTAATATTCTGGTCCTCATACCTTTGTAGATGATACTTTATGATATCCTTCTGATAACCATACTAAGATGACTTTCAAAATCTGAAATCTATGTAACTAATTTAAGAGTAAGTAATGATAAATGCAAAGAACTTACTTTCATTATATTGCCATAGCTGTGATATATGTATAAAAAAAGCAAAGAAACAGGAAATGAAATTTACTAAAAATCAACTTGACGACTGAATAAGTAAAATTAAT